ATGACTTCATAATCATCTCCTTCCTGTTTTGAGGAAAAACAAAACCAAAAAAACAATCGCTGGTATTAAATAGTCTACTTCAAATTTCACGTTGGAACTAATTCACTATGGGTTAAAAACTTCAACTGAACATGTACACAACAAATGGGCAGTAATTCTCAGATACAACCTTGCTTAGCAAAGAAGACATACTTCTCCAAGTTGTTTGGTTCCTGACTCAGAGATCACAAAAACTAAAATACCAAACAACAACAACATAGCTCAACCTCCAAACAAACCTAAAAACATACTGGCTGAGAACAAAGAGTTGACGAAGGGGGTCAAGAATTCTACAATGTTCAAAACAAACCCATTCAAATTATTAAACAATATCGATAGATTAAAATACTAATTCATTTTTAAAAAAGCTGCAAAAACAGACCATTCAAGGAAACAGAAACGTAGATAGGAATACAGTGATATGGCATAGTTTTCTGGGGGTAAAGAGTGCCTTTAATTGAAAACAAAAAGAAAGTTGCTAATAACTGACAACTACATGCCCTGATTTTTTTTCAACCAAACAGATTTTTAAAAAATAAAGTGCAAATCTACTGTAATGTTAAAATTTGCTTTCCCTTACACTTACAAGGGCCATCATATTAAAATTATGGTTAAATGTAGTCAAATAAAATGTAATAGGCAAAGGAATCAAATATGTTTTACTGGCTATTTATTTCTCAACCCAAACTGTACAATAGAAAACACTAAGAAACAAAATTAAGAGATACTTCCATGTAGATTTAAAACCTGTTATATATATTAAAACAAAACCAAACCAAGCCATTTCATTACGTAGTTTCCTATATTTTTAGGTTTCATTCAGACATTTTTAAACCATGAATTTCCAAAGTTAACTATTAAGCAGAATGGGGGAAAAAAAACATCAATATAACTGTGCAAATAATCTGAACATGTATTTTACTTATAATTGTCTCCATTTCTAGAAAACAAGCACGTTAGCTCGACGACCTTTCCCCGTTTAAAAAGGGCTTAATCACAGTAGTTCAAACTGAAGCAAAGCTCTCTCACATCAGACATATAGGACCACTAACAACATTAAATTTCATGTGAACTAAAATAATGAGGATAGCAAAATTAGCCAGTTGTTACACTTTCAACCACAGGTAATCTTTAAAAAGTAATAAAATGATAACTTTTAAAATGATCCCAAAATTTATAGTAAAACAATGTCTATTTAGCACACAGGATACTAAAAGTGCTCAATGGTTTATTCCAAAAAGGTAAAGATTACTATGAATTATTTATAATTCATTTCTCTTGTTAAGAATTTTAATTATTTTCAATTTAATAGCCACTACACTCTCCAAAAAGCAAATGTAGTCACGGAGGTAATGGAATCAATAATTGTTCTGCTTTAACTATACTGAAAATTTAAAAAGCCGATTTAAAACAAAAATAATAAAACGTGCAATGTACTGAAGCCCTTTGTGTTCCTGAAGTTTCAAATAACTAAGTAGTGAAAATCCCTTACCTTATCAATTATCTTTTGAAAATGAACTTCTACAGTACAGCTCTGAATATCTTTGTGCTCATCAGAATTATGTATTAGCACCGAGAGTTTTTTAGACCTTATTTTTTGTGCTCGATAGCCAAACACAAAAAGCATAGAATCAATAACGTTGGATTTGCCACTGCCATTTGGCCCAATTATACATGAAAAGCGCTGCACAAAAAGAACAGAAGATAAAGTTAAAATGTCATATCAATACCACTGATTTTCATTTAAGCTGTTTATTTTTTTATTTGAAGTAAAACTACACAAAAATTTACAATTTTTCATTGCTAGAAGACAACCAACTACAACTCTTAAGTTTTTTTCTTTTTAAATGTTTTCCTCTCTCACAAGCTTTAACACCTAAAGACCATGTTCTAATTGTAACCCACTTTTTTTTACAAAATTCATTTTTATAGTTAAGGGAAAACACTCCCTTCAAACAAAAAACTCATCAATTCTTTTTAGTGAAGAAAACTTTATATTGAAAGAGGTATCAAAGATAACCAGATAAACAAAAGCTAATTTCAGTCGTTAAACGATAGGAAACACAATTTATCTATATACGGGATATGACATATACAGACATATATATGAATCAACATGGCTCAGAATAAATACAATAGTTAAAAAAAAAAAAACCAAGAAGGATCTTGTAAAAATGAACTTACTTAACAATAGTTATATAAAATGGGCAAATACCTTATGAAAAGGTCCCAGAATTTTTTCCCCGGCATAAGATTTGAAGTTCTGGTTTACAATATGAGTTATCATAAGCCTAGGAGCTCCAGCTTCATTGGTCATTGCCGGAGGCGGTGGAGGAGGGATGCTATTCAAAATTTCTTCTAAACTTCTGTTATCAAGTTCCTCACTTGGAGTTTCTAAGTGAGTCGAAGGGAAAGGCAAGGGGGGAAAAGGCCTACATTAGTGCAATTAGTTCGCAGGACTACTGCCTGCTCATGTCGGGAGGGAGGTTACTTAAACCTAGGAATCTATATATTCCACTTAAATATAGTATTAACCGAAACGCACAGGCAGCGAGAAACTAATCTTGCACTTTGTTTTATAAAATTCCAGAAAGAAAAGCCACCAGTCACAAAATTCTATAGAACTCTACCTCTTAGGAATCGAAACATACTATCACAAAGCAAGTCTGGGAAAACCACAATGAGTTGACCCTCTCCTCCGCATCATTAACAGGGGTCCGGTCACTGGATAACTCTCCGTATCTTCGAGCATTGGGAACTATCACTTTGGAAAGCAACAGCCTGAGCGACACTGACACAGGGGTTTCTTAAAGTGATACAATTCCTGGAGTTACAAAGGCTACGCGTAGTTTGGTGAAGTAAATTATCACCTTCTCTTCAAAGGTAATTTAAGACCATAGAAATGAGACTAGGGCCAAGCAACACTGCATCAAGTTTACAGACAATGATACTGATTCTGTCTGAAAAAAAGGCCACTAGCTCTTGGCTGACCGTGCCGATTTCCGCAGAAATAAAGATGTCCGTACCGCTACAGAAGCCACGACAGAAATTCACAACTGAAGCTGTTTACTAGCCGCCCCTCCCCACCCAGCACCGTCACACCCAAATCGCCAAGTGGCTTGGCTCAGCCGCCCTCCGGCCTGACCCGGGCCCTTCGGCCGTCAATCCCGCAGCCTCCCGCCCCGCCGCGCGCGGCCCCCGGCGCCCAGC